AGGCTAGGAGAGGGGACACGGGCCCATGGACACACAGAAATTGTGCCCTTTACTTCCCCAAGTCTCTGTGACTCACTTAGGTGGATGCATTCAGTCAAAGGTGAGAAAGCCTGACAGGCCCGGTTGCCTCCCTAAAATTGCTGGGCCATTGGCCATTTCCACTCCCTTGGCAGCCTTGGCACCTCTCCCTGGAGAGAACAGAATTATGCCTTTGGCTTTTGCTATAAAGTCAGATAGCCCTGTCAGAAGGACCCAGGAAATATTGTAGTGGAGTTTAAAGTGTGTCATTGAATTTATCATTTAGTAACTTGTGGTAGGCACAATTCTAAGGAGGCCCTCACAATCCCTGCCCCCTGGTGTTCAGAGCCTGTATAAACCTTTCCGCCTGAGTGTGAAGCTCTTCTAACCAATAGACTATGACAAAGGTGAAGGGATTTTGCAGATACAATTAAGGTTCCAAATTCGTTGAACCTGAGGACAACCTCCAGCTGAAAGCCAGCAAAAAGTTGGGACACTCGGCCATACTACCACATGGAAATGAATTCTTCCAACAATCTGAATAAGCATGGAAGAGAAGTTTTTCCCAGTCGAGCCTCGAGATAAAAAGGCAACCTGGCCAACACCTTGGGTGCAAACTTGTGATCCTCTGAGCAGAGAATCCAACTAAACTAAACCTGGATTCCTGACCTGTAGAAACGGGGGCCTAATAAATATGCACTGTTTTCAGTCACTAAGTTTGTGTCGATTTCTCTTACACGACAATAGAAAATTAATACATGTCTATGAGCATACTCTTTGCTATAACTCTCTTGCAAATATTTTACCTCCTAGTTCCTAGCTGGCCCCCAAAATCACATTACTATGGATTCACAAAATTTTTTTTAAGAAATCTGAATTGGCACTTTGCAACAGGAAGAATGCCCTTAGTAATCAGAAATATTGGGAAATTTTCAGAAGTAAAGTCAAAAATATAAAATTTAACAATGAACAACATAATTCTTAAAGACGAAACTATTTTTGTTTTAAAAAATATTTTGGTAAACTATTCGGGTAAATGTGGATGTTTAGGGCATAGATTAACAAAATAATCAATCAATCTATTGGCTAAATTGTCCTGTATTTCAGGAATTTAAGGGATTTTATAATGAATAAAGATGGGAACGAATGGGAAGAGAAGAGAACTTTGAAAAAGAGGGCTAACTGATATGCATAGGGATAAAATATAATAGCGAGTAGAATAATGGTCACCAAAGATGTCTACCTACCAATCCCAGCACCCGAGAATAGGTTACTTTCCATGGCAAAATCACATTTTGTAGGTGTGATTAAGTTAAGAATCTTGAGATAGGGTGGTCAACCTGGATTTTCCAGGTATGCCACATGTAATCACAAGGATCCTTAAAAGTGAAAGGAGCAAGGTCACAGGGGTCAGTCAAGGAGAGATTTGAAGATACCGCGCTGTTATCTTCGAAGATGAGAGAAAGGCCACAGCTAAAGAATGTAGACAGCCTCGAAAAGCTGGAAGAGGCAAAGAAATAGATTCTCCCAGCTAAGCTTCCAGAAGGAGCACAGCTCTGCCAATACCTGGACTTCAGCCCATGAGAGTCACGGCACACTTCTGACTTCCAGAATTGTAAAATAATAAATGTGTGTGGTTGTAGGCTACAAAGTTTGTGGCAATTTATTACAGTACCAATAGGAAATGAATATACTCTCCGTCCACATTATCTAAATGCCCAAGTCTGCAGTAAGATTTTGAGTGGAAATTATGAAAAGAGACTGAGCACCACAAGTGGGTCAGTGCAGGTGGAACAGGGACCCACACAGGAGGATGACACGATCCATCAACTGAACTAATTCACAGGAAGCAGAAACGAGGCCTTAAAGGATGTGGGAATGTAACATATCCACCTCTACCCGCTCATGAAATTTTCAGAAATCTTAAAAAACAGCACTGGGTGCTCCACAAATGTTGCAAAAGAGAATTAAACCAACCTTATCCAAATCTTAAGTGTCTTGAGATTGAGTTTCAATTGAGAAGAAAGCCAGGTAGTTAGTACCCATCAGATTTTCATTCGATGTATGTATAATAGAATATTAAAGGGAACACTTTCTTTTCTCTATGAAATTTTATTTTTATGTTTTTTTTAACAGTAAGGTGTATATATATATATATATATACATACACACACACACACATATATGTGTGTGTATATATATATATATATTTGCACTGTGTTCACCTCCCATAGTTTTTATGCTTTTGAATAGTAATATACTTACATGTTTAAATTCAAAATAAGAAGATAAACGCTCAAAAGACTTGCTCTCACCCTGTCTACATCTACTCCTTGGCTCCCTTACTCCATTTATAATCATTTTCATCAATTCATTGTTATTTTTCCAGTGTTTCTTTATGTAAAATTGAATAGATATTTTCATTCCTCCTCTTTCTTACACAAAAGATAGCATCACATGTGCACTATTCTCCACCTTGCTTTTCTCATTAAAACAGTACATCTTAGAGAGCTCGCCATATCAGCGCCTAAAGTTCTTCCTCGTTCCTTCTTTACTACTGTGGGCATTCCATTGTGTGCATGGAAGCATCACAGTTCATTTCACCAGTTTCCTCCTGAGAGGATTTGAGCTGTTTCTAAGCTTTTGGTGTTATAAACTATATCATAATGCATAACCCTGTTTATGAGTCATTTTGAACTTGTGCAGGTGAACACATAGGATAGGTCCCAGAAGTGGAACTGCTGGTTTGAACAAAGGCATTTGGACAATGGCACAGGTGTTGTACCATTCTGTACTCTCATTAACAGTGTTTGAGTAGCTGTTTCCCCACAACCTCAAAAGAAGAGGTTAAACTTATGGATTTCCCCCAAATATACAGATGAAAAGGACACCTCGCTAATTTTTCTTAAAAGTGAGCTTGAGCATCTTTTCTTATGTTTAAGAGCCATTTATATTTCTTTTTCTGTGAACTATATTTCATATCCTTTGACCTCTAGTTGGACTCATTTTGTTTTGATCAAAGTTTCAAAAAACTGAGAAGAAAATAATAGGTTGCGAGTACTTCCATATTCTAAAATGAGGATTTCCAAATGGTCTTGTGACCCTTAGTTCAATACTCAGGATATAAAATGGTTTAAATTGCAAAAGTCAAAAGAAAGACATTCTTCGGAGAAAGCTATTGGTGTGATGAGCATTTTCTCTGCCCCTCCCGCCCCCCGCCCCCGCAATGGTAAGGGCGAAGGGGTCTTCCTCAGTGCAATCCCAGAAAAAGGACCTTCAAAGGGACTGCCACTCAGAGAATTTAATTTGTGTCCCCTAAAGCTTCAGCAGACACAGTGGCCTGGTATCTGATTCCAAGGATAAGACACTTAAGGGTCAAGAAGCTGAGGCTGTCAGGCCAACAGCAGGACAAAACAGTGGGAACCACATTGAAGCAAGTCACAAAGTGTTTAATGGGAAAGAAAACCAGTCTGTGGTTGCAGCTCTCTGTGGGGCAATCTCCTTTTGGCGTGGCAAGGATGGAGGAGTTTACTGGGTCAAGTAGATACTCTGGAAAATAACTATGCTGGAGGAGCCATCATGATGTGATTTCTCCTCTCCACCCCCCCACCCTCCCCAAAAAAGCAGACTTCCTGGGTAAGAAAACCCCAATAATGTTAGCAGTAAGAGGCTGTGGAGTGCGTTTTCAGGGGCAGGAGCTGAGGTAGTGAATCAAGATAACAAAATATGAAACAAAATATATCAAAATATAAAATATCTATCCACACAACAAAAAGTAAGCATGAACTACCTTGTAACTTGAAAACTAGAATACTCTAGACAGACATACAAAAAATTAAATGGAGACATATATCATGTTTTGGGCTAGGAGCACTCTTTATTTAACACATTCCCAAGAAAAATATCAAGATTTTGGGGGGCACTTGGCCAAATAATTATTTAGTTCATGTATAATAAATATGTATACATGAATAAATATATGAAAGCTGAGAACATTCTGAGAATTAACTGAAAAAATGGTAGCTTACTTTCATTTGGTATGAAGAAACCTATTTTACAGTTACAGCAGGTGATACTGACACAGAAATAGATCAATAGAAAAGAGAAAGTTCATAAATAGATTTGTATATGATTCAGTATTTGATTCAAATCGCTAAGGGAAAAAATAACAGTTAATGAATATTAATAGGACAACTGGTTAAATGATTTAGCAATAATAAAAAAAATCTTCTCCAACCTCACCCTTATGCTAAAATAAATGTCAGATGGATTAAATATTTAAATGTTTTTTAAAACTGATGAATTATATTACATTGAGATTAGAAGTTCTTCTAAGCATGGCACCAAAGGCAGAATACATAAGGAAAAAGACTAATAAATTTGACTATATAGATTTAAAGTTTTTGTGTGGCAATGTATGACACAAACAAGATCAAGGGAAATGATAAACTAGAAAATTTGTTTACAAAATATATGACAGCTAAGAAAATTACTGATATAAAGAGCTTTTTCAAATCAATAAAAGACAAGCCAAGTACTGAGAAAAAAGGCAGTTCACCAAGACAGAATTACAAATGCCCAATCAACATAAAAAATAGTCAAGAAAAATGCAAATAAAACACTGAAACATCATTTTTCACCTACCAAATTAATCAAGGTTAAAGGTATCAACAATGCCTAATGGTGTTGAGGCCTTCTGCTGGTGAGAGTATGAACTGCTATCAACTTCCTGTAAGATTCATCTGACAAAATGTAGGAAATATGAAATGTATATAGTGGTTTTCATTCTAAACATGAAAGGAATTTCAGCTTTAGGAATTAAGCCTAAGTGATAACTGCATACAATTATGCAGACTTGTGTAAGAATAGTAAACATCTGGAAACACTCTAAATGCACAATAGAGTACTGATTAAATAAATTATGGTACAAATTTTCAATGCAATCATGATTAACAGGAAAATGTGTTCAAGATATGCTGATAAATGAAAGAAATGTGTTACAAAACTACATGCATTGTTTGATGTCATTTAGGTAAAAAAAAAAAAAGTGTGCCAAAAAAGTATGGGTATGAGTACACTTGGATGTGCGCGCACGCGCGCGCGCACACACACACACACACACACACACACTCCACCACCACCATCAAAGGATTTATTCATTCTCATCTCTCTCCCGCCCCGCCTCCTGCCTCTGAAACAATGAGCATACATTCCTTTCTTAATTGATTTGCTTCATTGCATCCCCTCCCCACAAACTTGGGCACAGAAAAAGCCACATCTTTCCTCTTCATAATCAGGCACTTCCTATTTAATCAACAATGGCTGGCGTAGGCAAAAGGTCCTTAAAACATTATTAGAGTGCCTACTACTACTACCGGTTTTCTCTTAGATGAACAGAATGGAAAAATAGAAAGTTTAGAAAATCAGAATGTGAGGTGAGCGATAAAAAAGGAGCATTGAAAATTCTTATTTACTTTCTTTAAAATTAACTTAAATATTAATTGTATTCTGAGCTAATGTGGATTTTCAAGATAACTACTTCCGTTCTGGTCTTATTTCAAGTGGCCAACTGCAAGTTCAGGTCTTGAATCATAGGTGGACTGTTAACTATTTCCCTTAATGAACCTCCATCTGTTTGGCTCCTTCTAGCTGTGATGGGGTGGGGGTGGGGGTGGGAGAGCACCTTATAGTGAAAAGATAGGTGTAAAAAGACATATGTGCTATAATAGTAAAGGTGCTGGTTAAATATCTACACATAGATACAGATACAGATATAGACGATATACATATACAGAGATGTAGTTTGGATATGTAAAGGCCTGACTCCTCCAAGGACCAAAAGCGCTGTCAGAAGATGAGCTGAAGGCCTATCAAATCCCAAGAATGAAGATTAGACTTGCCGTCAGAAGACTTGGCCCCACAAGTCAAGCCGCGGAGCCTTCTGAACTCATTTCTCCATTCTAAAATGGGGGAAACAATAATCCCTCCCCACACAGAACCGCCATGAGGACGGAATGAAAGAATTCACGTAAACAAGATAGATAAATAAAAATTGTGTATGTGTGCATGTGTATACACGCACACATACACGCACGTACACACATGCACAGATCAGCCAGGGAACAATCTGCTCCATATCTGGACAACCCCCCGATTTTGTTTCCCAGCCTGGAAGCCAGCCCGAGATTGGATCTTGGTGCTCACCTCAACACACTCTCCCCAGGACAGCTAATAGAGAAGATCCTTCTTTCCTCTGTCCCCACCTTAGGGGTTTGGCTTTACTTACCGGTGCTCAAAATCCAACTCCGGGTGCCACCTGACCAGTCCTTCCACAGAAGGACTCCACATTCTCCCAGGAAGACCCACTATCAGTCTCCTGAGATGCCCCGCACCTTAACCAGGAATCCACTTGGGAAAAAAAAGGACAGTATTGTGGTGAAGCTGCCAGGTGAAGTTAGAAAACTTAAAGCTATCTTCATGTTTATGAGAAAACTATTAGAAAAGAACCGCAGGAAAATGGCACATCCTATTTGCAAATGCTCGGCAACTGCTTCTGTTAAGGATTAACAATGAGCAACTTGGCATTATAATTTGGAACATTCAGAGGGAGTGTCAAAGTCCATATTTTTGCTATTTTAGTACTCTTTCCTGGACTGTTTTTACATTTCTGCACCATACCCAGAAGTACATTTTACTTAATATTTTACTTAATATTTAGTCAGTGATTTTAACCAGAAACTTTGACACTAAGCGAGTGAAATTTCTTCTTTTCTATGACGATTATGCTAAGTTCCCAAGTGGACAACGGTAGCTTCCTTGGCAGTTAATTCTAGAGCTAGAAATGGAGGGGGCAGCTATAGAAACATAAGGTGTTTACAGAATGATAAAAAATAATAAGCGGGAGAGGCTCGGATTTTCTCTTTGGATAGAAGAGGGTTTGAGGAAAATCCTTACTCATCAGAGACCCTATCCTATACTAATCATAGTAATCTGTAATAATTCCAAGTTTAACACAAGAGCTGTGAAAATAGTATGAGCTTGAATTGCATATAAAGATGAAAAGAAGAAAGCTATTTGTATTAGCCTATTGAGAGCTCTACTGTGTAATTCGCCTGAGATGAGAGCAGGAAGGGGTCTAAGTGCTGATCCTACGTGGTAGTCTAAGTTGCAAAGGACAAAGGACATAGGACGATTATTCCTCATACTGCCTGATAATGGTTAGGGAGGAAAGTTAAAGAATACTCATTCAGGCTTTAAAGTCAAATCTACTACACCCCATCTGTAAATTCAGCATATTGACAGTAGGCTCAGGACTGTTCACACCTAATGTGTAGAAAAAAGGGATGATCATGTCACCTACATTGTCCTCCTTTCCTGTAAACACAGGGACTCTGGCCATGGGCTTGATATTGTTTCAACCCATTGTTACTACATGGTCACTGAATCTAAAGGTAAGCACAGCGAATTTTTATGAGACCCTCGGTAATAAAAAAAGATATTAACAAGACTGCTATAAACATTCATATGCAAGAGTAGAACTGTCTAAATTCACAGAATATTTTTACTGGCATGAAGACTTATGGCTTTTGAATATATATAAGGCAAATGGAACTGTATCAGACATTGCAGGAAACTTATTGAAGTGGCCAGGCTAGCATACTTTCTAATTAGATGTCAATTAATGACAAGAAAAGGGCTGCTTCTAAAGTGTTTGACAAGTTTACCTATGTCAATGTTCTCTATCTTTTCCAATGACCTCCTTCATAAAGTCAAATTTTAGCCCAAATTTATTTTTTTCAAGCTTGTATTTTTATTTGTTAGCCCAAATTTAAGCCCCTCTCACTGCTTATTGTAAAAGAATGGACTCTGAATTAATTAACAGAGATGCTATTTAGGAAGATGCATAGACTCTCAGTGATCAATACCTAGAGGAGCTGACTCTTGGGCATCACTCAGAGGAAAACACGGGCCCAGCCCATGTAATATGTAGCCTGTGGCCGATATTATGTTGTATATCAAGGGTCTCAAGCTCATAGACATAAAACTGATTGTGTAGCAGGGAAGATGTCAGCAATCCCTGAGTTTCCACCTTTTGGAGAATTCCATAGTGACAGTCACCATCTTGGATCCAGAAATGGGACCAAGCTGGAGATGGAGAAAGTTTGCAGGCTCCCACATACATGTGGATGGAAGCCGCATGGGCCTCTGTGCGGGCACCTGAGGAGCTGTCATAACATCTGTCCCAACAGCAGTGCATTCTCCCCACGTAGTGCTCATCTGCAATCTAGACATGGAGAAGGAAAAGAGTCCATTGACATACTTTGATTTTCCCAGGATGCATCTCTATGAGCAGCCCACACATACTCATGGGAAGCAGCATGGAAGCTGAGCCACCACTGTGTGTGTGAAACAGGGCAGCATCCATCACCGATCCTGCTCTTCTCCTGGGGCAGGTGGGCCTCCCACCCCCCTCCACCCTGAGATGCAGAATTACTCACGCCCTTTGCCTGCCGAGCATCCGCTGGGCCCAGGACAAATTCCACCCACATTCCTTGACCCTCTTCGATCCCAGCTGTTCTTCAGGACTCCAGTCCCATCCTCCCTCCATTCCACTCATTTCTCAAAAATAACAGTCTCACATACCACACTGCTAAGAAAGAGAGGAACGTGAGAACAATCACAACAGCCATGGAGACCAGCCCAGCGCCCACCATCTGCTGCAGCGTGAGCGACGAATCTGCAGGACAAAACCACACACTGAACTTGTAGCACATGGAATCACGGCCCTCCCAGGGGGCACACGCCGTTTTAACCCAGAGCTTGGCCCCATTTAACAAACCAGCCCGAGAATGGACAGAGAGCCTCCTGAGCCCCGAGTTGGTCCTGAGGATGTAAGGCCTCAGGAAGACACAATTTCATGGTGTTTCTAAAAAGGAAGTATAAGACCAGGACACATTCAAGTTACAAGGGATGAAAAAGCTGATCTTGTACAGCATACGAATGCAGCATACTGTGTTGCTTTCGCTGGTCCTCTCTCTAGTCAATTACACTTGATAGACTTTTATGGGCAGTTTTCCTTTGCACCGAGGAAGGAGTCCATCTGACACCATTTGGATTTTTGCTCCAAAAATGATAGTTAGCTCCAGTAGTCAAATATAGCAAACAAATCCTTTGTTGGATAGAGTCATCTGTCATTTTCCCTATATGTCAACGAGGGTGGCACCTTCCTGCTCAGCTCAGTAGGTTGCCATTAGGATAAAAGAAAATAATATGGACATAAAAGCTCTTTGAAAGACATATGTATCTTCTACTTAGGGTGCATCACATGCCAACTCCCGGAGACCCCTGGGTATAAACTGGAAAACGCCCACATTTGAGTTGCACATTTAGGCTAAGCGACTGAATGTTCTAAACTGATGGTCTCATTTTAATCTGCAAACGCTTATTTAGCACTTACTATGTAGCAGTACACCGAACACTATTATTACTATTCTCCTTTCACAGATAAGGAACTGAGGCATGGAATGGTTAAGCAACTTGCCCAAGGTCACCAGCTAGTTAATGACAGAGCCAGGATCCAAACCCAAACTCTCTGGCCCCAGAGCCTTTGCTTTGACCACAGCACCATGCTTTCCCAGGGCAGACTAAATCCAGCTCTGTCTGCAGCAGAGCAGACCACATTCCCTCACCCCAGAAGTCAGAGGTGCAAGCCCAGACCTCTCCAGCACAGGTTGACAATGACGGGGCCTCGGGCTATAGTAGCTCAAGTTCCCCTTTGGAAGAGCAAAGGTCTGTATGCAATGGTGCCACCAGATAGTGAAAAGATCTTGAGTGTTGACTATGTATAGAATTAAAAGTAAAAATACCACCAATCCATGGAATAAATGTAAAGAAGTGCAACTAAGTCCAAACTCTGACAAATAATTTGCTGTGGTTGTCACTGTTAGAATATCAAATTATTTCATTTTTCTGTACCCTCCTTTTACTGATGCCCCAAGTATATGCTTAGTCTGCCCCTGGGGAAACCGAGCATAGCCTTGGAAGAGGTGAAAACAGCAAAAGCAAAGATTTATTACTGTAAGCGGGGAGCGGCTTGAGAAGAAAAATAGTAGCCCCTGGACTTGAGACCCTCCAAACATAGATGATTTCTTTCTCTGGCAGTGACCGAGGCACATTCGAGAACAGTTCAAGCTACTTAACTTTTTTGTCGTCTAATCTGCACTGTCCAATACAGTAGCCGCTACCTGAAATATGGCTATTTAAATCTAAATTAATTAAAATTAAATTCAGTTTCTCAGTCATACTATTTTAAGCACCCAATTTCAAGTATACATGTCAAATGCCCAGTAGCCACGTGTGGCTAGTGACTACGATACTGGATAGCACACCCTTAAAATCTTTCTGTCATTGTCACCGCTCAGATCCCTACAACCAGGTTAAGAGCAGTGTGGTCCTACTGGGGGGCTCTCCGGGGTAGCTGGCACCAGCAAAAGCAGCCACGAAACACACCTGCAAATCCCTTTACCTAAGAAAGTGTTGTCTAGAGACTGTCTGGAAAAACTTGGCTTATATATTTGGCTACTTTTAGTATTCAGAAGAAAAATGTCTTGACATTTTAAGAAGCCATATAATAAAATGGAAGGAGGAGCTGTGGAAAATAGAGAAGAAAAAAAAAAATAGGAGTGTGATTAGAATTACTACACATTAAAACAATACAGTGTCAGCATAAGGGTGAATACATTGGAACGAAATAGAAAGCCTAGAAACAAACCCAAGTATATCAAATAATTTCAAAGCTTGAATACTGAAGTCAGGTTGTCCACATCTGTATCGGGTCACCACCACTCCTTAACTATGTAACTTTGGGCAAATTATTCAGCCTCGGTATCCTCACTGCAGGATGACATCATAACATGGGAATGATAATAATAGTATCCACTTTTGGGTTATTGTGAGAAATAAATCAGTTAAGACATGTTAGAAGTGTCTGGCACAGAGTAAGCAATGAGCAAATGTTAACTATTGTTAATTATTGTTTCAGTACTGTTTTACATCATTGAGGAAATAATAACATTATTCACAACTAGTGTTGAGAAAATTGCTTAATAATTTAGAGTAATTTTGATCACTAGAACTTATACTCTATACCAAAATAAAATCCAGGTGGATTAAAGATTTAAATTGAAACCTAAAAGGATTAGAACAAAATGTAAGTGAATATTTATCTAACATTAAAGCAGGTAAGAATTTTCTTTTTTCTTTTCTTTTTTTTTAAATTTTTTACACCTACAGCACCTGGTCCTCCTAGGTGGTCTCCCATCCAAGTACTAACCAGGCCCGACCCTGCTTAGCTTCTGAGATTAGACGGGATTGGGCGTGTTCAGGGTAGCATGGCCATAGACAGCAGATAAGAATTTTCTAAGCAGACTTATTAAAGCAAGAAACCTTGAAATAAGAGAACAAGAGATCTGACCATATAGAAAAGCACATAATTCCGAAACTACTAAGTAAGTTTAAAGAGCAAATGGGAAACTGGCCAAAATATTTAGAATAATGAAGAAGCAAGGGGTTAACATATAGTGAGTGTTACAAATTAATAAAGAAAAGACAACTACCTCAATGGGGAGAAGAACCAATTCTATAAAAAGGTAAATCACACACCAAGTATGAATACAGATGATTGATAAATCTTTGATCAACTGTTCTTTTACAAGTAATAAAAATACGAATTAAAACATCGAGATGCCATTTTTGTGTACTAAGTTCACTAGGTATTTTTTGTTTGTTTGTTTTTTGTTTGTTTTAGAGGAAACACAGTATCGGAGAAGGTGGAAAGAAGCCAGTGTTTCCTGCACTGCTTGTTTCATCCGAGCCACCCAGCATTCTTCCAAACTTTGGTCATCAATATCTTCTCTGTATTTTTTCCTCTACAGTTTCATCCTCTATCTATTTTAAATTATCGATTGATTAAAATGTGGAACTGAAGATGACTGTCGACAATGACCCATGTCCTGCATACTCCTAGATTTGACATGGACTCATTAATAAGCACACTTTGCATAGTCATTCTACCACTTTCCAGGCTCACACGCGGCCCTCATTTCCCCACATTAATGCATTATTAAGTGTGGGCCGAAGTCAAAATACATTATGCCTGCCCTGTTTCCCTGACTGATTAGTGACTGTGCAATAAGAAAAGAGAACTAAACTGCTTACAGCATCCATGGTGACTGCTGGGAACTGCTGCTTATTCTACCAGGTAGATACAGGGCCCTCTCTTGAAGATCTTGCCTGGTGTTTACTTCAAGTTATCATCATCTATGCTTGGCGAAGTCTCTCTCCCTTGTGTGAAGTTCCATGTTCTTTATTCATCCCCCATCTTCTCACTTTTCTCTTCTTCACCAAGATCACCTGCAGTGGTTTATCCGTCTCATTTGCAAATTGTACGAACCCACTAGAATGTGCTTCATCCAGGTCAGAAGACTAACCGATGTACAGCATTCAGCTTTTCCCTTGATTTCAAATATTCCCTTACAAGCCAACAGTACAAAAGTAAAGTAGGAGCCGGGGAGCCTAAACTTCTCTTGACCATCCATCCACCAGTAGGATACCGTTCACCCTAAAGAGTGGGCCTAACTCCTCCTTACTCTATATGTAAGTATTGGAAAATCACCTTTATTGATTATGTGTAACACGACGTGGGGTTTGGCTCCAGGCATGATTCTTGCTGACAGAACGGTTCTTGGTTATATGTCTCTTTGTCTACATTCTCTCTGAAAATCTGAGTCAATCCAATTGAGAGTACTCATGGTGTGGCCACATGGGCTTTTTCAGGGACTTCCCTCATTAACTCCTTACTGAGAAAACTTCCAACTGGCTAATTTGAATTACACTTTTTAGAGCTTTGCTGTCCTCTGGTTATCCACCCTTCCATAGTCCCATGCCATGAAGTCATGTTTATTGTTTTTCTGAATCACTTGTAGAATACTCTTTTAGAAACCCAGGTGAGTGAATCATGTTATATCCCAGATTCTCAGTGACTCATTCTTGGAAAAAGTAAATTCATTAGGCTGGTTCCACCATGTTCTTTGGGGTGGCTCCCTGAAGATGTATAGTACTCAAGCAGAGTGACAGAGCACCCCTGGGCTTATCTCCATCCCTTCATGAACGGCAACATCGCAGGTACTGAAGAGCACGTTCGAAAGGCCCTATTCCTACTCTTAGACTTTGTGACAGCTTGAAGACTTCCTATGGCTGTGGACATTTTTGCATGAGTTTACATGACCAGGGCCATTTCCGGAAAGCAACAATTCTGTTCTCTAAAAGCTACAAATAATTAGCACTGTGACTTCCACTTAGTGTGTAAAATTTCTCTCTGCTACTCTACTGTCTCTTCACTTGAATTCCCTGCAGAGGAGGAGGTGGCAAAGGAAATCAAAGTAGAAAGCTAATTTAGAGATAAATAAAGTCTGATGAATCAGTAACATTATTGGATTTATTTTCTAGTGCAGTTTAACAAATTACCATAAACTTAGCAGCTAGCATCCATTTATTAGCTCACAGTTCTGTGGGTCAGAAGTTCAGGCACATTGTGACCAGTGCTCTGCTCAGGGTCTTACAAGGCTGAAATCGAGGTGGGCTACATTTCCCTGTGGAGGCTCTGGGAAAGAATTTGCTTCTTAGCTCATTCATGTCATGAGCTAAATTCAGTTCCTTGCAGTTGTAGGACTGAGGCCCCCACATTTTACTGGCTGTCAGCCAGGGGCTGCTGAGCTCCTACAGGCCACCCACATTTCTGTCATGTGGTACTCCTTGTCTTCAAAACAAGCAGGAGAAACCCTTATGTTAAATCCATCTCTCCCTTTGAACCTCCAGTTTTCTCTGTCTCTGACGTCTAAACTCAGATTTAAAGGGCCCATGGGATTAGAACAGGTCCATGTAGTTAATCTCCCTATTTGGGATCTTACTTACATCTTCAAATCCGTTCATAGCAACGCCTAGAATAGCCTTTGAATTAATAACTAAGAGAAGGTGGGTGTACACTGGGGGCCAGGAATTTGTGAGGCCATCTTAGAACTCGACCTATCAAATTATGAAGGTTGAAAATGAGTGTGTGTATGCATAGCATACATATACATATATACATATATATACACACACACACACACTAGACTTATATCTTAATATAAATCATCTCTGGCTCTTTTAATTTGATAAGTATCACATCTACTATGCTTTATTTCTCATCAAATTATGCTTCTGGTTCCCTGATAATCATTCAACCCAATTCCATAAATTCTGATTAAGCACCTAATATATGCCGGACACTGCTCCAGCTCCTCAAATCCTCTCCCTTAAGGATATGAGCAAGTACACCAGTTGCTCTAAAATATGGCAGAGCAAGTACACCAGTTGCTCTAAAATATGGCAGAATGGCTAAAGACAAGGGAGAGAGAGAGAGAGATACTGTCGCACTGAGGAAATTTTAAAAGCTCCAGGGTGGAGACAGCACTTAACTGTAATCTTGAAGAACAGGAGGGATTGTAATAAGCAGAGATTACTGGGAGGTTATAGGGCAGTCCAGGTGGAAGCAAGCATGTAATTGTATAAGCAAAGATGGTAAGGAGAGAAGGCAAGGGCCGTATCCAGCGAAGAGCTGGCACAGCACTTTGCATGGAGAAGAATGAGAGGTGCAATGAGAAGGCTGTGCTGGTGTCGGACTCAGGCCTTAGAAAGCAGACTGAAAAGTAATGGTGAACTATGGAAGAACTGTCAGGGGAAATACTAAAATCAGCACTGCAGTGCAGAAGTATGAGTCAGTCGGTGGCGTGCAGGCCGGCGTGGAGAGAGAAACCCTGAACACTTGTAATGGGAGATGAGCTAGGAGACTTTGCCAGTCGACCATGCTACAGATAAAAAGACCTATGCTCAGGAAGTAAACATGCAAATGGAAATGAGAGAGGCGTGCCTGAGGTGCAAAATGTGGGCTGAAAGAGAAAGAGGAGTGGTCACGAATGACTCAGAGGTTTCTGCCTATGACTGAGGAATGTTCCCTGATTACAGTTTGTCATCTCGCATATATCAAGTGACCTCACTTTGTGACTCAAGAAATCACAGACTCATTGTACTTTGTGGCTGGAAGTCATCGCAGAAATCTCAGAAAGAGGCTGTTGAGAATCAGCCAAGTTAAATATAATTTCAAAGACATTAGGCCGATTAGTAGCAGGACTTGGGCAAGGAAGCTCAGGCCTCTGCATTTCCCATCCAACCAACTGCTAGTTCCCTTGTAACTATCACAAAGCTCTTTCGGCATCATTTATGACTGGGCAAAGGCAAGAATAAGCTGTTGCTTGGCATAAGCGAACCGGAACAATCTCTCCTTTTTACAAAAGGAGACTGCCAGAGGTTAGTGCGCAACACAGACAAATTTACATTTATCTATGTAAGTTATGTACATAGATAAACATGTACTAGAATTACCTTCGGACTCTCAACATAACCGTGAGTTTTCTACTATTCCCAGAGCTCTCCAGTAGTTTGAATTCAAAGGTTCAAGCTCTCTTTCAGTGTTGGTTCTTGATTTGAGAGGGGGAAAAAGGCACTGCCAAAAGTCACTTAGATATTTCCAAAGCAAAATCCTTCCTGTTTAACTTAATCACAGTAGAATGCAGCCGGGCCTTTGGCCATTTCTTCTATCCAGTCTGAGTGTTTGCCAACCATCCCAAACAGTTACTGAAAGCAGCAGATTCCAGAGGCTATTACTTCTGGGCCTATCTGGAATCCTTGCACATCTCCGTTCTTCTGATACAAGCACCCTTTTCCTTGTGAGAATTCCATTCCCACCCTTAGAGCTGTAGGGAATGAATTGGCAGGAAAATCTCCGAATGTTGGAATGTGTAGATGTTTCTTGTGGACTTCATCAAACTCCCATAAAGGGAGCTTAGCCTGCCTGTTCGCAGAAATGTCATAGCACGCATCTTTGTTAAGTGAAACAAGTCGAAGAAAGACAAAAACTATATGATCTCACTTACATGTGAAATCTAAAAAAACTGAACTAATCGAAATAGAGAATAGAATGGTAGTTGACAGGGGCTGGTGGGGGGAGGGAGCGGCGCAGGGGAAATGGGGAGATATGGATCTAAGTTCTGGGGATCTAAGGCACAACATGGTGACTATAGTTAACATTACTGTATTATAAACTGAGAAGTTGCTGGGAGATCTCAAATGTTCTCACACGAAAAAAATACATATATATAATAATTATGTGAGATGATGGAGGTATTAACTAACCTTACTGTAGTAATCATTTCTCAATATATAGGTATATCAAATAATTATGTTGTACATCTTAAACTTATACAATGTTATGCCAATCATATCTCAATAAAGCAATAATGCTGGAGATTGTAGGGGAGCTCACTGCCTGGCAATCCGCAATCCAAAATGGCTGACGATAAGGTATTACGTCTTGCCCAAGTCCTCTATGCTTGTTGAAGTTGGTGTGAGTGGAAATAAAAAGATGGGAAATAAGATTAGGGCACAAGCAGACTAATGAAGGAAGCCCAATTCCCCAGGTCCCTCCCAAACATTTCCTGTTAAGTACCCTCTACTGACAGGGTAACAAACACCCCATTGTAAAATGCCATCCACTGGAATCCTCCTGGAAGCAGGGTTATATCAGCTCTTCCTCACCACCCCAGCCTATTGTTTTATGCTGCTCCAGAGTAAGCAACAGGATGTAAAGGGTTAAACTGATACTGTGGGCTAAGGGCAGAATTCCTCAAGCTGTTGCTAGGACTCACAAACCACAAAGAAAAGGTCCAGATTCAAAGGTCATAAACTTGACAAGATTTCTGGCATTGGCTACAAACTAATGGAATTCCTGGGAATCAAATCCACTGGCTAGCTGCCTGTTGGTTTAAAGAAATGTTCTGCCAGGGAAATCCCAGCTGGTGATCAAGGACCTGTCATTGCTCAATCTCTAAGGCAATTCCCCTGGATAACTGCATGTGGGAAGCAGAAGGTTTAAACTGTACAGCACTCAACAGAGCCCCTGCCCGCCGCATCTCTTAGGTACGGCTTCAAGGAAATGGACAAGGGTACTTTCCTGTGAGGTGACCCCAGAAAAGACTGAGGCAGCCCAATTGACTGATCAAGTGACACATTCTGCTGCCAGGACCGGGGACGCTTGCTTTTACTGTCCAGTAGGATGTGGTCATTGTCATGGCCCCCGACCGCTGCGCAATAGTTTATCTTTTCCTCTTTTCTAAACAAAAGTACTTTTGTTTTTCTTTTCACATTATACATTGTGGTTTGAGAATGGCTTTTAGTCATGAATTGCTAAACAGACCATGAGAAAAAAACATCTGGATTTGATCAAGAAGAACAAACCATGCCCAGGAATCTTGGTCTTGGAGCCGAAGGCAGTAACAGGCCTACCTTTGAGTTATCTTCCATGAAGGTTCCATTTTTGGTTGTATGGAGGACAATTTCACTTTCTTAATAGAGGGTGTCTTTCCTAATAGTGTATGTGTACGTGTGTGCACATACGAAGCAGTCAAATGGTTGAAAATGGTAGACTTTTGTATATCTTTCTGTTGGTCTGCCAACATGTTTTTCTGTGCCTTTGTCCCTGATGGGGATCATGCCCCCTCTCAATGCAACCCAGGTGGGGGTTGTCTGCCCCCAACCAACCATATGAGTAAGCCCAAAACCCAAGGTAAGCTGATCATAACACACCGTCTCCTATTAACAGTGATTCATCCAATGAACAGTCACATAGCCTAGGAGAAAAGAAAAAATTTCCCTGAGTTGAAAAACTTTCTGTTCCCACTGAAGTTGCTAAGCTGGGGCAGCTGGTGCCCCGCCCTCCCTACCACATGGCTGACAGTCGAAGAAAATGAGGCCAACTCACATTCAGAAATGGAGCAGAGATAAGACACAGATAGAAAGAGAGTTCCACTCACGGAATGCTGCTCTTGTTTGGATGCCATAAGCTCCCTTCCCCCATCCTTTTCAGCTGTGGTCATTTGCTTAAGCTACTATGAGATGGGCTTCTGTCACTCATGACAATTTCAGAAGAAATCTCATTAACATACACTTGATGCTGCAGATTGGACATAGAGATAAGGACAGCATTCTTAGGCAGAAAATGGTCTTACCTTTCACCTGCGCCCAAACTGCACAGGAGCATCTTCTCACCTACGAAGGAAAACACAGCAATACATTTAACTAGATGGCACATGGTGTCAGTTTAAATAGCACATTTTAGCCCTCCAAGTTTCAGGGTTTTATCTCTTAACTTGGACTACAAGATCTTTGAAGTCTCATTTAGCTTTAATATATTACAGCTTAGCCATATGATCACCAAGTGTTCAAGGGACTGACAAGGATAGCAGGGACATGAGTGACCCCAGGGATCACTTCTACAGCTTTCCACAGGTCTTAGAAACCACACACTGTGGGTAAACAATAGGAATGGCAATAAGTTTCATTCCCTTGTCACCTCTGAGCAACTGGCATTGACTGCCTAGAGAACAATGTTGAAAAAGTTCTGAGGTCACATCCAGGTTCAGGAAAAAGTTGTGATTCATGTGACAGGCAAGGCTATGTGAAGTCCTGGTGTATAATAATGCTTCACCTATCTAGATGATACTTACCTAGCAACCTCAGTTACTCAAAATGTACCCGAGAACAAGGGAGAAAGCAAAAAGAACAAGTATGAAAGCTCATCCATGGTAGAAGAGACTCGGAAACTCATTGGAATGAAATACCTTCTCCTGTTCTCCCCCACTGTTATTTATGCACATTTGTCTGTTAGGAATGCTGAGATTACTGTCTACGATAAAATTCAGCAAAATATTCCCTAGAAGAAACTGAATGGCAGGAGTTTGAGAAAGATCCCTCCAACTTCAGTGGAGATTCTTTCAAGTGACAACTTTGGGCATTCTGGTTTTTATTTTATTAAAAACTGAAAATAATATATTTCCACTGAAAAATTCTGGGAAAAAAGCTTAAAATGGGCATAAGGTTTTGAAGGTGACTAAATTTTGCCTGATGCTAAGGGCGTCAAGTCTATCTAAGGAAAAATAATATGCAAGAGTAACCAGTGAAGGACATGTTTCGAGGCATTGGAGAAGAAAAAAAAGACCTCAAATAGCAAGACAGTTACTAGGGAACTGAGCGTATTAAAGGAGAGAAATTGGCAGAGCCAGGTGAAGAAGGGAACTCATTAAAATGAAGTGCTTTGATGAGATATGTATTTTATAAAATTCATTTTGGCAATAATATGGAGGAAGGAAACAGGCAGAATAAGAGATAGGAAAATGAGTTCAAAAATTGATATTCAGACAAGAGATGTCAAAGGCTTAACAGTGCTAATGAAGGAGAGGGAAGGATGATTTTAAATAACATTAAAGTGAGAGAATTGATACAATTTAATGGTAGACTAAGATGGTAAGATAAAGAGAGAAGATAAAAATTACCCCTAGATTTCTCTGAGCAATTGGGAGAATGGTGATGCTATTTATTGGGACAGATACACAGAGGAAAAACAAAATGGGGGAATTGGAAAACTGACACTCCCTGATTTCAAATTTTACTCACAAAACTATTAATCAAAACAGTGTGATATTGGAATAAAGGCAGACATAAAGACCTATGGAACAGAATAGAGAGCCCAGAAATAAACCTTTCCATATATGGTCAAGTGATTTTTGACAGAGGTGCCAAGGCCATTCAATGGGGAAAGAAAATCTTTTCAACAAATGGTGCTGAGAAAACTAAATATCCATGCAAAAAAAAAAAAAAAAAAAAATGAAGTGGGACCCCGACCTAACAACAAATACAAAAATTAAATGGTTCAAAACTAAATATAAGACCTAAAACTCTCAGGAGAAAATACAGAGAAAAAGCTTCATAAAATTGAATTTGGCGATGATTTCTTGGATATGACACCAAAGGAACAGGCAACAAAAGGAAAAAAAAAGACAAATTGGACTTCAGTAAAATTAAGAATTTCTGTGCACCAAAGGACACTATCAACAGAGTCAAAAGCCAACCTATAGAATGGAAAATACTTGTGAATTGTCTGTCTCATAAGGGATTAATAGCTAAAGAACTCCTAAAACTCAAAGAAATAAATAACTCAGTTTAAAAATGGGCAAAGGACTTGAATAAACATTTCTTCAAAGAGGATACACAAATTGTCAAAAGCATATGAAAAGATGCTCAACATCACTAATCATCAGGGAAACACAAACCAAACCACAATGAGATACCACGTCACATCTACTAGGACACACATCATCAAAACAGAAAAAAGCAAATGCTGGAAAGAATGTGGAGAAAATGAAAGCCTTGCGCACTATTGGTGAGAATGTAAAATGGTACCTAAAGAGCTGCTATAGAAAATAGTATGGTGGCTCCTTAAAAAATTAGAAATAGAATTACCATATGATCCAATAATTCCATTTCTGGGTACATACTCCAAAAAGTTGAAAGCAGGAACTTAAAGGCAGATCTGTACACCCATATTCGGAGCAGCATTATTCGCAATAGCGAAAAAGTGGAAACAACCCGACTGCCCACTCACGGATGAATGGAAAAACAAAATGCAGTACATACGTACAACAGAATATCATTCAGCCTTCAAAAGGAAGGAAGTTCTGACGCATGTTACGGATAATCCTTGAGGATGTTATGCTAAGTGAAATACGAAATACGACAATCGAAAAAAGACAAATACTGTATGGTTCCACTTATATGAGGTACCTAGAGTAGTCAAATTCATAGAGACATAAAATAGAAGGGTAATCGCCAGGCGCTATGGGGAGGGAGGATTGGGGAGCTGCTGTTCAATGGCTAAAGAATTTTGGTTTTGCAAGACGAAGAGAGTTCTGGAGATGTGCTGCATGACGATGTAAACGTATTTGATACTATTCAATTGTGCAGTTAAAAAATTGCTATGATAAATTTTGTTATGTGTATTTTACTGCAATTAAAAATAAATTACTACTGTAATATTCTGGAATTAGACGGCGGTAATGGTTGCACAACGTTGTGAACACACTACAAACCACAGAACTGCCCACTTTAAATGACTGTAACGCTAATATATTTGAAACCCACGGGGGAAGTAATTGCAATTCAAATATGCAAGTCCAAATTATTTTTTCAAAGCTGCTTCGTCCCCTTTAGCACCTCAGAGAATGAGCGCATGTTCTGCTCAGTTGTAGGAAAAACGGGTAACGATGACATCATGGGAAAGTTTCTTATAAACTAGAATTCTTACCCTGATCTCCCACTTCATTCCCTCTGTTATGGACTGAATGTTTATGTCCCCACAAAATTCATATGTTGAAGCTCTGACTGCAAACGTGACGGTATTTGAAGGTTGGGTCTTTGGGAAGTAATTAGGTTTAGATGAGGTCATGAGGGTGGGGCCTCTGTGATGGGATTGGCGTCCGCACGAGATGAGGAAGACTGACCAGAGCTCGCTCTCTCTCCACCATGTGAAGATGCAGCAAGGAGGCTGCTGTCTGCACGCCAGGAGGAGGGCCCCCAAATTCTCCTGCACTTTAATCTCGGACTTCCCTGTCTCCAGAACTGTGAGAAATAAATATTTCTTGTTTAAACCACTCAATCTATGGTATTTTGTAACAGCAGCCCAATCTGACGAATACTCTCTTCCAGACCAAAGTCTCAATCTGGGACAGCAGCTCCCTGACTAATCTCTAAATTATACTCATTTTGTACGGCCAGTGCTGTGTCTATGGCTAGAAACGCCAAACCAGGATCTCCAGGTAATTTTCCCGCAAGAAGGCCTTGTCTAAGCCATAAATATCTTTTGAACAAGTTCAAGGCAATACATTCTGGGTTTTAATCTTCCAATTATTAATTCCTACATTATTGTCACAAAACACTACCAGACCTCTTTGCTACTGGACATATTCTTAAAAGTACCCATTGGTTTTATATCAAGCATGATAACAGCACATTAGACTCATGTCTTATACAGAATTTAATAGTGTTTCGGTTTTAAGTATGTGTCCAACCTTTCACTCAGAATGGCTCAAAGTCGTCAGTCGAGAGATGTTTCTATGAATATTAATATAATTTTTCCAGTTTCAATTACCAACCCATATGAATTTACACACCCAACTCACGGATGGTTGCTTAGGGCAACCATCACAATGGTTCTTCCAGAAGATCTTCCATCCCGGACTGACTGATCCAGCTCTTGCTATTCTCCTTGTCCAGCTCATTATATTTACATTTTATGTGATGAATATTCAGTTCTAAGTCCCATGAAAGAACATAGCCTTTCTAAGGACAGGGGAGAGGAACGTAGAGCCTATGCAATAGCTAAGGAAGTGAGGGAAGCAGAAAATAGGGCAGTGCTGAGCTTAATCTGCCTTTCCCTTGTGCTTCCAGGAGAATGAGGGGAGGCAGCGGCCCGGCAGGGGTACATGGAAGTGACAGAGATGCTCCTCTCCGACTCAGGCTTCAGCAGTGCAGTAGAATGAGGACATTTGTGAAGGCTTAAGAGGGGGAACCAAAACCAGGTCAGTCCTAATGCAGCTCTAACCAGGTCCCCCAGGAAGTCCAGACTATCAACCTCCCCGTAAAGGTTTTGCCTGCTTGTCTTTTCTAAAGGCAAAGTATTCAACACATTCTTATAATTATTACATGCAGTGTCTATCTCAAATATTTGGAAACAAATATTCAAACATTCAAATTTCATGTGAAGAAGAAAAGAGTTCATAAGAGCTTTTATAGAAATATACCTTATTCCATTCACTTGTGATTCGTAATATAATGCAATAATCGTTCCCTATTTTCAAGGGTGCATTATAGTATTTCCCGTAATATAGCCTGTCTCCAACAGTTATCTCCATGCCATCATCAGGAACATCTTTGGCCAGTAGTTCTGCAGCCACATATCCATCAGTGTCAGAAGTGTTGCTAAAGAATGAGGTAATCCCTTTGGAATCACAAGAAAATGTGCTTTGGAGGGCCAGGGGAACCACTAACACCTGGTACGAACTGGAAGGAAAGAGAAAATTTCTATCAGACTCTTGCTTAAGGGATTCGTTCATTCATTTACACATATTTATTGAGCATTTGCTATGAGATAAACACCTTCCTAGGCACTGGAGATACAACACTGGACCAAAAAAAAGTCCTCACTCATGTGAGATTTAGTCTGACAGCTCCAACAGTAAAGTGACTCCACTTTTAACCTACAGTGTTAAAGCCAGATGACACTGGCAGAGGGGTCTCTTCATGTTCTGGCTGCCGGCGGATGCCGAGAAGATCCTCTTTGTCTGGGAGAAATTGTTGCATTCATCACTTCCCTGGGCATACATGTCATTAAGTCAATCTAATCAGTGATTTTCATGTGGGCAAAATAAAGCCCAGCTGTGGAAAGGGTTTAGCAGTCGCGTGGAGGCTGCCTGCCTGCAAGAGTTAATAGACTAAGTCTGCAAAAAGGCTCCAGGAAATCACATGGTAACCTCACATGGAACTCATGTGATCCCTGCAGTTCATGAACTGATACCAAAGTTCATGTCAAATCACTGAGAAGCAAGGAGTCCAAAGTCACCATGAGTTAACCTAGTCTGACAATATCCTGAAATAGCCAGAAAGGCAAAATGTCACATGTACGCTGTGAAACTGTTTCCTAACTGTGGACATAGAAACACATCAGCAATCAGCTGTCATTTTGTCATGGGTTTTGTTATTATTTACCCCAGATAGAAAACCTGTCAATGAAAGGAAGTCTAAGAATAAAATTTCACTGAGAATGAACCATGTCTTCCTTTTAATTACCATCTACTCAGTGCATATCTCCTGCCTCTGGTGTAATCAGTGTTTGAACATCTGCTTTCTCTTTCAGGCTCGACAGCAGGGATTTGAATGATTAACTCTTGTATCTTTGTAAGTCCTTACACAGGCCTTTGGCTGTGATTGACCCGCACTAATGTTACTTGAATTAAAATTTCAGTAAAGAAGACAAACATTCATCAGCACCAAATATGATTAGGGTGATTTCCAAAACTCATTAGGCCACGTAATTCTATTTTACCAGTAAATATACACTTTCTGTTCCACAAACCTAATGCCCCATCTCCCGCTTTCCATAAGTCACTAGGTTACAAAAAAGGAGCCCTCCACCCACCGCCAAGTACGTGTAGGATTTGGAAAGTCTCCATCCCAAACATCATAGGTGTCCCCATCTCCCGCTTTCCATAAGTCACTAGGTTACAAAAAAGGAGCCCTCCACCCACCGCCAAGTACGTGTAGGATTTGGAAAGTCTCCATCCCAAACATCATAGGTGTCCTCAGCGCCCTGATTTCCACAAAGTCTGTGTTCACTGTCAGCAAAGGGCTTTCTGCAAAAGGGAGAAAGTAAAGCCTGCAGGGCAATGAGCTATCGATGCCTCCACTAGTAAACATTTACTAAGCACCTATTGCCTACAAGGAAACACTCGTAGCAACAAACTTCCCTGGGAACTTTAACATATCTCCATGAATCACGGCCGCAGGTAAGTAAATGTTGCAGCAGCTTCATCCTATCCATAAGCACATCTCCAAATCCTTCTCGTCTTTCCATGTGGGTGGTGGTGTTCGAGTCCAAGTTCAAGGTTCACCTGAACTATTTAGTTCTGTACATTGCCCACTAGAGGCACCATTCACGTGACAGAAAGTAGTCTCTCGGGTTAGCATGATCGTAATCACCTAAATTGCTTGATAATTATACATGTTTTCAGCCCCCCTACTGAATTGAAATCTCCAGCAGTTGAATCTGAGAGTTTGTCTTGCTGATAAAGCAGCCCAGGTGATTCCTGTAATCTGGCAAGGGTGGGAGACACCACCGTTGAGAGAGTCCACCCAAGATCACCAAGCTAAGGAAGAAAGCCTTGGTCCGAGAGCCCCTGCTCCACCATGTGCCCTAAATCACTGCCCCCTAACAATGCACAAAGCAGATTCATGCCTGTCACACACTGGCAAAGCTGCTACACCCAGCTCAAACTAGGTACAGCAGTCAGGCGGAGGAAATCACCCCACTTGCCTGTCGGCAATTAATCCAGATGACGTCAGAGAAGCAGTTGTAGCTGTTGGGAACATCACTCCTCCCTCCCCTCGTCCTTACCACCACCCTCCCTGAATGACTCACAGATCTCCACTTCCTGTTTTGGAGGCACTGGCCCGCACAAGCCACAAGGATAGGCTGTCATTTGGCTCTTCTTTTTGCCTTACGTAATTATTTGATCCAAATGTTGCATTTGCTCTTGCAAATTCTCTGAGGCAGTGATATCACAGTGATTCTTTATAGCAACAGAATTACAGTGCCTCCCAGTCACTTGTCAGTAATCAAGAAACATAACAATTTAGGCAATATCCATTCCTGGAAAGACCTTTAAGTTCAGTTTACTACACTTAAACTAATGGAAAGACAAAAAAAAAAAGCCTAAGTTTCATTATAAATGCACACACAGATAATATTTCCCGATGTTCTTTTTTTAATAATATCTAACATTTATTTTTACCTTGATTGTATTGGAGGGTCATTGTCTAGACTGACAAGTCAAGAGAGGCATAAGGCCATGCCATGTAGGTTACATCAATGGTGGCAAGGTTCTGTTAGCAAGATGAGCAAGTTGCTTATCTCTCCAGGAGAATCTCTACCTTCCTCTGAAAAGGGGAACAATTCTGCTTTCTTAATCCTACCGTGACCATTATAACTAAAATGCTTCATTGAACATAATGCAGTCCTCCAACTGAGATAAGTTAATTCCATCCTACTACTATCTGGAATCCCAGAAGCATTTGTTAACTATGCAGCGTCCTGCTCATAATGCAATACATGAATGAATTAAAAGAATTATCCAATGACCCTTTCAGAAGTCACTACACACACGCAAAGGTCATCCTTAAGTCAAGGAAAATATATTCTGTTTTTGGTAAATGAAACAATGCCACTGAGCCATCATCACTAACATATACATGCAGATGTGAGTGCAAAGGATAATGCCTGACATGTCACGGACACCCAATCGATGCTCGTCCAGTGACCAAAGGAATTTCTTAAGCTAAGCTGCCCAAATGCTTGTCTCTGGTCCTTTAGAAGTCTCTCTACTTGTTTGGGAGAGTGCTGGTTGGGATTAAAGGCCCAGTCTGTGGCCAAGGAAACAAAAAAGAGGGGCCCTGTCTGCATTGCCCCAGCCATTCAAGTGCAGCCACCCCCAGTTTCCAAGACACTCTGTGAGGATCACTGAGCAACCATGGGAAAAGGGGCCACTACTGACCTGATAGGTCCATTTTCCTCCTTGGCCGTCCTCAGCTTCAGGCGTGGTAAAGGCCCTCCATGCACTGTGAAAAAGTCTACTTCTGGAAGGGGAGGCTCTGAAAACACACGGAAAAGTAAACAAAGGGTATTATTAGAACAAGTAGAAGCATAAAAAAGTGGCATTCATGGGGCCATCGAAAGGAAAGTTTTAATGTAAGAAGTGATGCGCGTATTCTGACCCATGCTACAACATGGATGAATCTTGAAAACACGTGAAATGAAATACACCACACATAAAGGATGTACATTGTACGATTCCACTTATGTGAAATATCTAGAACAGGCAAATTCGTAGAGACAGAAGCACGTTAGAGGTTGCCAAGGACTGAGCGGGTGGGGAGGGAATGGGAAGTGATTGCTTAATGGTCAACAGAGGTTCAGTTTGGGGTGATGAATATATTTTAGAAATAGATAGTGGTGATGGTTTTCAACATTGTGAATGTCCTTCATGCAAATAAGTTTATGTACTTAAACATGGTTAAAGTGGTATATTTTATGTTATATATATTTTACTGTAAATTTTTTTTTAAAAAAGCGACACCCTCGCACTGACAGAGGGTGGGCGCTGTGGGCACCCTACTTGGTAGCTAGGTCCCTATTTGGTGGGAACGGCCAGCACATTAGACCTCTAGATCCTTTACAATCACACATCTCTCTGTCCGTATCTTGTTCTCCCCAGCAACCAGATTTCTCACTGGGAGTGGAATACACTAATTGTCTGACACTGGTGTTCTGCCATCTAACCAGAAGTTACATTCGTGCCCCAGCTGCCATTCTGCCGCGGCGGGGAACACAGCCTGGGTGTATTGAGCACAGACCAAATGCACTAGATGTGCCCTGTATGTCTTATCTTATTTAATCTTCTCAACAGTGCTATCAAGTCGATGAGATTTATAGGAGGGAAAGATGGAGGAAGCGAGGAAGAGCATAAAATATGAATGCCCCCAACCCTGGCCCTGAACTCTGTCACCATGAAATCAAGGGCTAGAAGGCCAAAACAGACAGTCGAGACTTTATCACCCAATTAGAAAATAGCTTTGGGGTAGAAATTCTCAATCCAAATTATAATAAATAAGAACTTAGATCTTCTTAGATAGTTTGTAAAGCTCTATTAAATATGTTATCTATACATGGCCATTCGGCACGCATTTATCAGCCACCTCTATGCTCCAGGCACCGTGTGAGGCTGGGAGAAACGGCCACAGACGTCATGGTTTTTGCTTTCCAAGACCTTGAAGTCTATACGTGGAGACAGTTTTGTAAATGTGTGGTGCTGAGAACTATGATAACATTATAGGAAGTTGTGGGAGTGCAGAGGGAGAACACCTGGCCGAGGGCAGGATGGTGAGCCTATCAAATAACAGGAACAGGTAATATGCAGAAGCCGGAGGTGAGAGAGGGAGTGGCCACAGACAGAACCACAGGTAGTTCAGTATGGCTGAGAGGCTGAGTCCCAGCTGGGTAGAGGTAGGGTAGAGGTCAGATCTGAGGTCCTGGAAATAAGGAAAAGTCATTTAAATATTCTTCAGATGTATATTTTAGAAATACAGCTCATTGGAGGATGAACTAGAAAATAGTACGAGTATAGGTCATCCGAAATCTAGGTAAGAAATGCCTGAGGTCTGAAGCAGGTGACGGGAACTGAGAATGGAGATGGAAGAGACACTCCTGGGGGAGATGGAACAAAATGTGATGGAAGATAAGGAAGGGGAAGGAACCTGGGCTTGGGTTTTGACGGCTGGGTCAGTGGTGATGTCCTTCATCAAGGTGTGTGTGTTGGGTGCATATGGGGGGGCGGGGGTTCAGAAGTGCTCACTTCCAGACCTGTGAAGGTCGAAGTGCTTGTGGAATTGTCCAGCAGGAAGGAGGCAAGAGGACTACAATGTTAAATCAGGCTACATTCAGAGACTGCAATGTGCTGATGAGCAGCCAGACCACGAGGAAACCTGCAGAACAAAGGAAGATTTCTGCTGGGATTGCTAACAACCCATTTCCCCATCCCGTGAAGGGAAAACAGGAAAACCATTGTTAAAATAGAATCATTCATTCCCTATGGCTAAAAACATGGGGAACCCATGGATCACAGGCTGGGAATTGCCAGCAGGCCTTTCACGCTACCTATTCATATCCTTTCTCACTGTACATCCCTATCATCGTAGGAAATGGGTAAACGAAGTCTTTAAACTGTAACTCACATCCCTATCATCGTAGGAAATGGGTAAACGAAGTCTTTAAACTGTAACTCACAGGAACTAAAGAATGATATACAAACTGAATTCCCCAAACACTCGGGGTCCCTCTCAGTGTCTTTTACTCAGGTCCTCTGACTGTCACTGTCTCTGTTTCTATCTGTCCCTCTCAGTCTCTTAGGCTCTCTCACTCTCTGCCTCTGAGAGGAGGCCACGCTCTGTGGAGCATTATCCCTCCTCTAATAAACCTGCCTTTTGACTCTAACACTGGCATGTGTTTGAATTCTTTTGTGCATTCAGCCAAGAACTTATTCTCTCTCTCTCTCTCTCTCTCTCTCTCTACTCTCTCTCTCTCTCTCTCTCTCTCTCTCTCTCTCTCTCTCTACCCCTCCATACCCTTGTGCAGAGCTTGAGACCCCGTCACCCCCACCACACACTCAGGAGAATTTGCCCTGTCCTGCATCACAGAGGTTGGAAGCAAACTGTGGTGGTGATAATGGAGTCGGTCATCAGTAGGAGAGTCCACGGTTACCCAGGGGACAGTATAAATGCGTCTGAGAAAAGATGAGGGCCCAGAGCAGACTGCCGGGAAATCTAGGCATCTAAGACCAAGTGGAAGGATGAGAGTCTCTTAAGCTTTTGTTAAACAGTGGTAAATCTAGAATGTCTTCCAATGTTACCTAGTTATGGTTACACAGAGTATATATTAAACCTGTGGGATTGCCAGGGACCCTAGAAGGTCACCTGGAGCAGCCCTTGCTGACAGGCAAGGCCTCAAACGAAGGTGTTCAGGGTCTACGCTGTTTCCAAGGTGTCCAGAAAGAGATTCCCTAGCTGACAGGCCGAGGAAGACGGCCTGCAGCAGAGATGGGGAAAGGGTAGTGTAGTTTGAAAAGCCCCTACTATGTGCCCCAGGGGGATGTGTCCCTTCCGGTTTGAGAATTTCTGCCCTCTGCCCTGCCTGCTACCATCGAAATGCCCTTTCATTTGTGGTGTTTTGTTGTCACAGTAGGCAGTTTTGGTCACACATTTCCTGTTTTCAGCCCAGAGGGGGAACTAACTGTTCACCCTTTTCTGTGTGAGAACCCTTCTCAGGGTCTTTTAAATTATTCCTCTGTTTGCTCCTCTCTGAGATTAATAATTCCCCTAATCTGGTTCCTCTAATCTCTTGGCTAGCCTTTTAAAACCGCTGGGTTTCTCGCCACCCTCAAGTAACAGCAGAACAAAGTGCTCACTCAGGTCGGAGAAGGCAGAACCACAGAACAAGCAGGAAGCCGTCCATCCCCTGCCCGTTCCCTGTCACACTGCCCTTTCTCTTGCAGCTCGACATGTGCCACTACCACCCAGCTGATTCAATCAGCATGTGACTTCCAGACTATTTTCTGCTCGGCCTGCTTAAGGCCTTTCCCGCCTCATATTTTAAACAGTTTGCTTGACCCCTTCAATGCAAAGCTTGAACTGTCATCAGGATGTTTCTTAGCCACATTTAAGTAACCTTAACTTCTAGCCATATTTCCCAAGGCACTGTTTCCCATCCCCGGAACTGCTGTCCTCGGCAGAGCTGCCCTCCTTCCCATTAGCCTCATGGCTGGTTTAAACCGAACAGACCTAAGGCAAGAAGCAGGTCCTGTCTGGGCTGGAGAGTGTGGTTCTTGCACTCTGGGTATGTGAGATGAGAGGAGACTCAGAAATGAGACCCTCACTACCACTGTGAACACTGTCTATTCTCTAACTGAACCACCTGACAAAGGAAAATGTGGGAGCTGCCATGTGAGAAAACGTTGACGAGTATGGAGAAAGGCAACGAAGGGGAACTCGTCCTGCAAAATATTAAATATATTATAAATATATTATAAAACTACAATAATTGTAATAGTAAGGTACAAGAATATAGTGTGTAGCATGAACAATCTTTCCAAAGCTGATGGGAAACTGGCTTTTCACTTGGTGGGAAAAAAATATATTACCATGTAAATTTAGCCTTACACCATACGTCCAAACAAATTCCAAATCGATCTAACTTTAAATGTGAAAAGCAAAACTATTAAGAAACATCAGAAAATATTAGAGAGAAAAAAATTAATCTGATTTTGGAGTGGGGAAGGCTCTTCTTGGCGTGACCAGAGGCAGAAATTATTAAAAAATCAATATAATTGATTACATGAAAATTTAAAATGTCTAAATGTCAAAAAGAATACTGAAAAGAAAATTAAAGAGTAAATAACCTGGGGGGGTTGTGATAAGTATAACAGAAGGTTAATATCATTAACATAGGCAAACTTTTAAAATCAATAAGATAAAGGAGGTAAGTGAATGCAAATGAGTTAAAATTCCTTCTAAAACCCACCAAAATGAGAAAAAACAAAATAGAAGAAACTTTTATTTGAACCAAAACTAAACAGAAGTCCCAACTTTATTCTATAAACTTCAACTAAATGCAAGGAATTAACACACATAAATAAAGATACAGAAAAAAAAGACACCATAATGATCCTTTTCTAATTCTTGGCACCTCGCCAGAGAAATCACACCACCCACGCACGGCATGATAGATTGAAACTGATGACAATAGAAAGACTGGTAGCTTACACCATAAGTCATCAGCTGTCATGAGGCTAGCTACATCTCCCCTATCGATAAAGTTATGAGACTTGGCCTTCCAGAAAGAAGGGACAATCTTCCTTTCGTTTTTATATCCCCTTCACTTAGCACGGGTGTTTGTACATCACCATTCAAATATTCGCTGAATTAAATTTTTAAGTTGCAGTACGCCTCTCCCCACACCCACACAGCACACGGAAATCCCGGTTCCGGATTCCTGGTCCCATTAGTAAGATTTAGTTTAATGTGAGACACTCGGAAGGGAAATTCCATTCACTTTTCTTCTGGGAAATCAGGTGCTACCTTTTCCAGGCGCAAATCCTTTGCCTAACATTTCCAGTCAAATTCAAAAGTTCAGAGTTTTTCTGAAACAAAGCCACGTCTTAAACAACCTCTTCACATAGACACATATTCTTCTGATATAAACTTTCCTACTCATATTTTGTAGAAGCTAATATTAACACAAGAGAATTACACATCCAGCCTGTTTTCTTCTGTGGTGTATCATCCTGTCTCAGCAGGGCTTAAGCAAGGATGTGGATGCTTTCAGTGGGAGAAGCTGGGAGGCACTCAGGCCCATATCACCATTTGCTTGAGGGGAGGGGGTTCGGGTTCGGTTTGAAGCTAGAAAGTAGTTGGGAGATTTCTACGGATGAGAGGAATAGGTGGCCCATGGAGATATGGAAGGGCATGTGTGTGTCCCTCCTGGCCTGACCTAACATTAGGTCTCTAACCGTCAAAGAATCTGTGTCCACAAAGGACTTTGGGGGAGTCTGGACAAAGAGGAAAACAGCTGGGATGAAAGACAGTCCCTCTCCTAACTCAGGCGCAGCTTCTGCCCCCAGGAGCCCGGGGGAGCAGCGGGAATAGCGAGGTACCCTGGAACCAGCCTGAGGACACAGGGGGTCTCACTGAAAACACAGGAGTGTGCTGTCCTTGGATGGTTTGTGGGTAGCCAACCATGGAAGAGAAGCCTATGGTAGAAGAGCTCGAGAGACTTAGTCCTGCATGGTCCTCCCTGAGGACATCTCATAGTAAGAGAGATCAGAGAGAAAGTGTCAGAGGCAGGGGCGGTGGTCCCTAGTCCTATGGGGGAATCGAGAGCTATACTGACCAGACCCCTCTGTTAAAGGGACAGCCTGATAATACTCGGGACACACCTGTGTTTTCAGCTGCTTTCCTGAACATCTGAAAAGGTACATCCTCTTTTTCTCATTACGTACGTACGTGGGTAGAGACGGGAAGTTTCCCGTATAAGTTGCCAGCCTTCATACTAAAGGTAGACTTGGGGAGGAATGATTTCGTTTACATCTTTTCTACCCTTTTCTCCTCCAGAATTCTTGGTTCCATAATAAATGCTCAACCTCATACGCTCACCGTGTTGTGTAGCACGAGGGTTTATCTTTACTTTCATGCATGTATTTGCTCTCTCTCTCTCTCTCCCCTCTTTTTCCTCCCTGGTTGTCTCTCTTCCTATGAGAAGAAACTTTCGCCTACAAGTTTTTTGACTTGGATTGAAAATGGCATAACCAACATGTGAAAGTCTTCTGACTGTCTGGGTCTCTTCCAAGGGTGGGAGTTCGT